TAGGTGCTCAGCAGAGGGGATCGTCTTTCCGGAATTGGAACAAATTGACAGTCCTGGAATGTGTAACCTATAGCTATAAGACTGAAATAGGGTCAAAATGACTAAAATGGTCCTTTAGACTCTTCAAAGAAGGCCAAGAACTTGAGCGGAAAACTTGAGTAATATAGATAAATATGATTGTCTCCTTTGGTTCTTTTGAGAACATCACTGTTGCCAAATGTTACTGACGAAAATTATGCCAGGGAGGTATCCAAAGTGGACGTGCATATGCAAGGTTGATAATTTCATCTTTCTGACATTTCTTTTTGAGAAATAAACATGTTATGATGTAAATGCAAAGTGATCATGGGGTTACTACTTCCATGATACCAATTTCTCATGTACTGCCTCTGCGTAATCTGTAAGTATCAGGATCTTAGGTCTGAAACATAAACCATATAATCTTATGAACAGATTCAGGACTCAAAATAAATCCGAGAACCTCCTAATCATTGACAGAATTCCAGAGCATATCCATTAGAACCAATAGTCGCTGTCTGGGTACAGTCACTATCCGAATATGAGTAACCATCTGAAGATAGTCACCATCTGTACCTATAATAAGAATTCCCTCCCCGCTCACGGGTGAAAACTAGGTCAGGGTAAGGCGATGGTAACTCAGAATCGAGGGTACTCCTGAGAAACTATCGCCGTATCACCTAAGTGAAAACGATAGCCCCTCATTTGTACCTCATCTGAGCGTGGACGACATGGCGGCGATAGTGAGACCTAAGTCAACTAGCCATTCATGTTCCACTCTATTCCTAGGGTTCCTATGGTATACAACTCTGGCCTGGGTATTGGGCCTTTTACCTCATAGTAACACCCACCCGATAAGAAGCAGATCCAGTACAACAGTAGTATATGGAAGACAATAAAATGCAATGCATACATATGCTCAAGTATATACAAAATGAGTGAATAAATTGAAAGCATAAATATAAACACCCAAAGAAAAGAAAGCAAGAGCTAGGAGCGACTCCGGGATGGACCAGCATTTGGTCGACCCGTTCCCCAGTGAAGTTGCCAGCTGAAACAACCGGCTAAAAATCATCAAACAATGAAGTCGCCATCGAATATCTTTTATCCCACATGTAGGGAAAGGTAAACATCGAGAAAACCTGAGAAGAGATAAGTCACGGTCTTGCGACTGAGAGATCGGGTAAGGGAGTCTGTTACGCGAGGGGAAGGTATTAGCACCCCACACGCCCGTAGTACTCTACGGTATCCACTCTTGTTATCTATCTTATGGGTGTGTTTAATCTATGCTTACTGTCTACTATACTACTGGAGGGAAAATGCATGCAAAAGAAAGGAGAAAAGAATGTAGGGAAAATAAAATTGTGCTCGCCTGGGCCCTACCCCAATGCCTACGTATCCTTATTGAGGAAACAGGGCTACCGTAGTTCGGCTCACATGTTTTTGTTTGTTTGTGTTTTTTATGGACAATGTTAATTCCGCCTTCTGCCGAAGCTCGACCTTTGGAGACTTATGCGTTGGCACAGAAGTAAATTAATCATGTCCTTACCTGAAAAGGGTTTTAGAGAAAAGGTGCTCGAGCGCACAAAATGGTTTGAATTTGTTTTGTATTTTTGTTACCTTGAAAAAGGGTTTAAGTATGATTAGCATGTTTTTGAATTGCTAAGAAGAGAAGTTTTTGTTTTGAAAGCAAGGATGCAAAGAGGGTAAGAAAAGAGTCTAAGGGAGACTAGCCTATTTCTAAACCTAATGTTATCAAACAATGGTAGCCATATGTCAAGGATGAATGAAAGGGGAAATTTCTACCTAATGTTAGCATGCATGGTTTACAACCTAAGGTCTAACTTGCGTCTGAACGGAGCAAGCGTATCCTAAGGAAACATGGTATGTACAAGGATAAAGCAAGCAAGCCAGCAAAGAACACCTAAAGAGATCCTGCCTAGGTTAGCATGTCTAAGAAAAGTCTAAAAAATTATCCTATAGGGAGCATGCAATGAGAGCGAAGTCGTGATCTCAATTTCTAAATTGAGTGACTCATCGATCGGCAAGAAATAAAGGAAAGCGATAAAGTCCTATAGGGAGCATGCACTGAGAGCGAAGTCGTGATCTCAATTTCTAAATTGAGTGACTCATCGATCGACAAGAAAGTAAACAAACACAAGCACAACACATATAGCAAATGAAGTGTGGAATGCCTGCTACAGGTCTTTAAACAGCGACTTCGAGCGCACGCTCTTTATTTCCTACTTCTCATGATATCTAGAAAGCGGTACAGTGCGGAAAAATACAAGGGTAGTAGCAGAGGCTACCAAAGCGAGCAAGTCGTCAAGAGCAGACGAAAGCGCTGAAAAAGCAGGGAGTACGCGTCGAGCAAGCTTTTACCAGGAAACAAAAAAAGGTCAGAAACGATATCTAACTAAGATGAATACAATCACGTGTCCTGAATGCACTGTGTAAACGGAAGTTCCTGCACAAAGTATCACAAAACATATCCAGACAATATATAATACAATATGAAATAATATGAATTTCTCATGAAGGTGAGAAATAAGGCGGTCGCATCGGAAGCGAGCATAAGCCACATGTTTCGACCACGTAACAATTGATATGTTACATGATCGAAAGCGTCACAATGTATTCTACACAATGAACAAACACGTCAAAAATAACAAGGAAAACAATAGAGGAACCGTATGAAAATCAATCTGATAATCAACAACTGAAATGCAACAAGTAAGCATGTGCCAAATGACAATCATAGTATTGAAATTCTACACTAGTAAGCGAGAAAAAACTGCACTATTATTGTACAAAAAAATTCTGCATTAATGGTATAAGTCGCATTTTCTACAAAATAGACATCAAAAAAATATGCTCGGAATGAAACGATATTTACATGGTAATCTATAAAATTGTCCCGGAATCTAAATCTGCAATCGGTTTTGTCAAAAACACAGTGGAAGCATGACTTCCGCGCACGGTCAGTTCGAAATACGGTAAAAAAAGTGCTCAGAATCTCTGAAAATCGCATAGTTGCTCCCAAACGTGCCAACAGACTCAAAAAACTATATGGCTCGAGCTAAAAACAATCACAAGTGTTGCTCTCATGCACGGGGCAGCAACTCGCGTTTTCGTGCAATTTAACCGAAATTTGAGTTATTCATGAACAGTAGGCATAACAATGTGTACCAAGGCTCAAGCATCACCACCTAAAATTTATGCATTAATTAATTATGATGAAAATGCAATAGAAACCTCAAAAATCAAGTAAAACAACAATTATATGTTATCACAATTTTATTCCAATGTCAGGTTTTATGTATTAATAAATGCCAAAGCATTCAAACATTGGTTCAAAATTATGTCAACTCACAACTTGCATTGCATTCTCATCATAATCAATTATGCAATTCACAAGAGTTTTTCACTTCATGCTACAACTTCCAATTAATTCTCATGCTTAAGGCACAAAACAAATCTCATGTTGCAATTTCAATTCAACTCTTATACTCAAGAATCAAACACTAATCAACATCTCCAACCAAAGTTCAATCAATTCCACACTTAAAAGTTATGTAACTCCTAGAAAAGGGTTATCTCTAAGTCTCTATCGTTTTTCAAACATCAAGCCTACACTAAATCAATTCATGAACTGTGCACAAAATTAATTAAGTCATGCCCTTAACATTCTTATAAACACCTATTGTGCACTAATTCTTCAACACACATATCTCAACAATTAAGCCAAAATCAAGAACCTAAATATGTCCAGCAATTCACATCAATGACAATTGTAATAGTGTATACAAGTGGAATTAGAAATGGGGTAGCATTGTTATCATAACACAAGTTAATCGGAAATTGCCAACAAAACCAAGAAATTTAAGTGTTAATATTCACGAAAGATTCAATCAAATGCAGATAACTGTCACACGGAAAATTAAGGCGAAATATGTACATGGAACCAAGTCTGGACATCATCTTTAATTTACAAAAACGCGCATGAAACTATCTTCGAAATTACACGAAATATTATGGACGCTCAACAAATACCAAGACAAACTATCCTAAGCGACTAGCAACAACTAATTCATGCATTTATCATAACTTTCTAATACCGAACAACCTAAATCTCAACGAAGAAAAATTCAGAAAATAACAACGGAAGAGGGGTAATTCGATCACACTAACTCCTAAACGTACAAAAATGCAAAAATAGGCATCAATCACTTTTTTGAAATTCAAGTTACGAGATATTCATGGCTCTCGGGCAGCAACATACATTTTTGTGCGATTCAACCGAAATTAGATTCAAACATGGAGAAAACTCATGGAAATGTATTCAAAGGTTCAAGTATCGTCGTCTAACTAATGTACAGGCGAATTACAAATAGAAACATGATGGTGGTCTTAATCCTAAGCAAAACCGAAAATCATATATTAGTGTAACTAATACCATTTTGGGGTTTTAAATGTTGCAAAAGTTGAATTATGCAACAAAATGGTGCTAAGTCACATTAACTCGTGAGGATACACCAAATTCTCATTAATTCAAGAATCACCACTTCAACATTTTCACAAAATATGTAACGGGAACTCAACTAAAATCAAGTTCACCCTCCCTCACATAAGCCTCAATTTCTCAACTCAATTAACTCTAAGTTTCTCAACAAACCTCTCTTCTTTGAATTCAAGAAACCCACTTATTCATTACCTCCAACAAAAATCTAACCAACTCCACATTTACATCATCATTCAACCAAATATAACTCCTAAAAATTCAATTCTAATGCAAGTTCAACTTTGCATTATAACAAGTCCCTAACATACAGCAAATGCAACTCATGTTTTATGCCTAAAACAAACAAACCATGGCTCAAGCAATTCAACAAACACCTTGAATGCAAGAATTTCTCTACTATTAAATGGAACCGAAAGTGGACATCTATTCCTCAAGAACCAATTGCAACATATAATTCGACATGAATCCACAAAATTCCGCAATCAACAATGAGTATCCTACTCTAGATAATTCCAACATCTCAATTCAAGAGCAAAGCACATCATCAAGAATAAATAACTCATCCACAAACAACTTCAACAAGGTTCAAGGTTAAATTTCAATTCAAGAATTCAGTTCACATTTCAGATCGATTATGAAGAATTCACTTGAAGCAAACGAGTTGAGTAGAAGATGCTTACCGTAAAGTGAAGATCGGAGAAGAGGGAAAAGAAGCCGTAGAACAGTTGCGAACGAAATGGAGTACTGTCGGAGAAAAAGATGAAAGGTTGGAGGTTCACTGTGTTGAGCGCGAGGGAGGAAGTGCTGCGTCTTTGCAGCGGCGAACGGAGAGGAGGAATCGCCGCGTTCTGGCAGCGGCGAACAGGGAGGATGCCGCGTTCTGGCAGTGGCGAACGGAGAGGATGAATTGCCGCGTTATTGCAGCGGCGAATGGGGAGGATGAATTGCCGCGTTCTCGTTACCAGAAGGGAGGTGCCACAGTGATGAGCTTGTCGTATTCGGGTGGTTCCGTTGGGACTGATCGTGGTTGAAGGAAGTTTCTTTATATTTTTTTTTTAGATATCAAAGAGAAAAAAAATGAAGTGTTTTTTTTTTGTCTAAATGAAAAAAATGGAGAGAGCTCCTTTTGAGAAGTTTTTTTTTTCTTTTTTTTTTTTGACCATTAGCGATCTTTTTTTTTTAGTATGAATATTTAGAAAAATTGGTTATGGATTTTTTAGACTTCCTGTTTAATAGTTAGGGGGTTAATTCCAACTTATTGTTATCTTTTCCATTATTTTCCTGATACAAATTCTTCCTATGCATTTTCTGCTATGCTGCCCAATTTCCTCTCTTATCATGTTTTTTCTATCCATTAAACATTCAGTAAAAATATTGACAAACCCGAGTAAAATAGGATATAAAACCTAGATTCCTAGCTCTAAAGAGGAAAACCCGGTGACCTGCTGTTAACATGGAGATAATAGCTTTATAGCTTAAGGAGAAAGAAATCTCAATAACCACAAATCACAACCTTAATGCCTCTACAAAAGGAATCGACCTTTACTGGATATGAACGCCTTAACCACTGCCAAACCCTAATCCTTCAAGATCTCCGATCTCATGCCAAATCATGTTGTTAGCGAGTGTATGCAATGTTAAATGACCTAATGGAGATACGTACATGAGAAAAGTGCGACAATGCATAAACCAGATAAAAGTAGAAGGGTGGGACAAATTTGGGGTATTACACCGAGGTTTCGCGCTTATCATGGTGATTGATCAGTTTCAACCTTTCTTGTTTCAGCCTACGTGCCATTGTTGTACCCCAAAAGTTTCCCTCCCATTTTCTTCAACACATTCTCATGAGGTCTCAAATACTCAAAGCTACTCAAGAGTTGACTGGTCAAACCTCCTCCTGAGCAAGGGTCTACAGCTAGGGTTTTATGCTTCTCAAGGAAGATTGGGTTGCAATGGTCTTAAATGACTTTCATGGTTCATCATAGGTCCTCAATAATGCTTATGTCAAGCTTCAAGTCTTGTATCACATGTTTGCTCAGTCAATGGCTCAAAAGATTGAAAGTCAACTATATTAGGTAAAAAGTCAACTATGGTCAACATACAGTCAAACTTCAATATTTTTTGTCAACATCAATGTTTTGAGGTGATATTCATTGTTTTATCAAGGGTTAAGCTTGATTCCTCAAGGAGAGCCCTCAAATCATCAAAAAATTGCCAAATTAGGGTTTTGATTGAAGATGACTGATCATTGACTTTTGGCCTAGTGCACGACTTAATGGATTAAAGCATGATCTCAAGGGATAAAATACAACATCTTGACCTAATTACATGGCTCAATATATTTTCAAAGATATAATTGATTGATAGTTGAAGAATTGAATCAATTGATGAAAATTCAACAGTCTCACAAAAGTCAAACTTTGATTTTTATTTGGTCAAACATTGGAATTCAAAAATCAAGAATCATCAAAACATTCAAAACTATCAAACTTTGTCATCAAGAAAGTCAACAAAAGTCAAAATTGAAGATTTTCAAACACTTAGAAAAAATTCAAGTGTTTTGTGCCTAAAAAACCATAACTTCACAAGCAAGTTTCCTCAAGATACAAGTTGATTCAAGGAAAACTTTCAACATGAAAATTGTAGGGATTGACGAATTCTACAACTTTGTTAATGTGGGATGATCCTTAAAAAGTGCTTAGATTAAGAGATACGAACCCATGAAGTTGTGACATTTTTATCTAACACTTGGAAAAAATTTCAACAAGTTTTGATTTGTTTTTCATTTCAACTTCTTGGAAAATTTTCACCAAGTTCCTTTTTGTTTTAGCCAAAATGGTTAACATGAAAGTTGAAGATCTTGATTCAAGCTTTCCAAAATATCCAATAGAATGAAAAGATCATGTTTGAGCTAAGAGTTTCGAAGACATGAAGTTGGCATTTCATTCTTGAATTATAGGTCATTTTTGTGATGAACTCGTGACCAGATCTCATAACCATGCTACACAATCTCACTTTACAGGCCTCTAAACTCCTAAATATATCCATAATCAGAATATTACATGAAATCTTGAGCCATTACACAAGGATTAGAAGCTTTGTCCAATGCATCATTCCATTAATGCCACAAAGTTAACACTTCCATTTTGAAATAGCAAGCTTTAAACCAAAGTCAATGCATTGAGCTCCTCATTAGTTTCCTCTGATCACACTCCATTATAAAGTGAATAAGCAACCTTCCTCTACCCAACAAACTTATGAACAAGCTTGTACTTGATCCTTGAAACCACCATTTTCACCATAACTTGATGTTTCACTTCCAACCAAGCCATTACTTGACATCTTCAGATTGTAACCAAATCAATCCCTCTAACCTTTGCCTATAAATATATAGTTCATTTGAAACCCAAGGGACGAATACACAAGCCCTCAAAACTCCTTATATTCTCAAAAACCTGAATCGTCCATAAAACCTCCATTTTTTAGCTTTGAAGTCCAAATCTTTGAATCTCTCAAACCTTGCAACTTTTGTCCAAATAAATCATCCAAACACCTCATATACATCATGTATAAGTGATAGAAACACTTGTTTTTCCACTGTAACTCCATTATCAACATCCACTATTTTCAAAATCCAACTTTGCAACTTGACTCGAGTAGACCAATCCATGCACTTTCAAGGAAAAGTAAAGGTTCCAACACACTCACCAAGGTCCAAGGAAGCTTTTGGCATCATTTATTTGCACCTGGAAGCATCCATACACGTTCTAAGTTTTCACTTCAAGAGGTAAGTTTTCCAAACTGTGATATCTTAATACAAGCATCCTTTGAAAATACATTCTAAATCAAAAATATAGATAGCATGCTTCTAAATCTAACCATGTCCTTAGTTATCATTTAAATTAAATGTGTGATGAGAATTTTGACTCTGAACCGTTAAGGTTCGTTTTTGGCACCAACATAAATTCTTGCTTATCTTTGAGTGTTGGTTAAAATAAGTTATATGGTTGAATTTGTGATTAAATTTCAAGAAAGTTTGGTGTTTACACTTTTCAAAAAGGTTGAGAAATGAAGCTTTTAGAAATTCAAAAATGTTGGTGTTGTTGTCTGGAGAGAGGAAGAAGAAGAAGTGGGAATTCCACTTTTTGAAATGAGTTTATAATATATTTACTGGGGGGGCGTTTCATAACCGGGTGAAACAGACACTCCAATGGTAAAACAAGCGCGCGTTAACCTTATGGACCAGGGTTTGAGCCCCAGTGGTACCCTTTTGTTTTTTCACATATTTTCCTTTCAGATCTAGTACAAGCAAATCCAAGGCGCGCATGGTGTATCTCCCATCTTGACCTTCAGATCCCAAAAGGTCCAGATCTAACACTTATGATGATTTCTTCATGGTGAACCCCAGGGAACCACCCTCACTAGATCCAGCACTGGCATACCGAGCCTTATCAGGCTGGGCTTGGCATTTGGTTTCTCACCCCCCAATTTCTTTTACAAACACATGCCCATTTGAATTTCTTTTTTTAAAATAATTATTTTCTTTTAATTAATTTTATTTAAATCATAATAGCAAAAAAAATCATAAAATCATAAAAAAAAATTAGATTTAGGTTTTAAATTAATTAATTTAATTTTTTTATAAATAAAAATTAATTTAATTTAATAACTTTGATTTTATTTTATTAATAAATTAGAATTATGTTTTATACTTCAATTATTTTTCTAAACAAAAACAATAAAAATATTTTCTTAAACCCTTAGAATTTTTTTAGGTCTTAAATATTTTTCCTCTTCATCATCTCCGCGCGTTTGCTTATTTTTTGCATTTATATAATTATGTAATTGCTCAAAGCTTGTAATAGATAAATTAGGATTTTCTTTATATTTTCCTCCCCAATTTATGGTTTGTACTCCCCATCCATGAAGCGATGTAATAGCATAGATTTATTTCCCGCATTTTTTCTGCACTTGTATATATTTAACTGTTAGATTAATTAGGCGTGCATGGCAAGACATAAAAAGAACAAACATTAGAAAACTTAATCTCAAGACAAATACTTGAAATCAAAATGCTTCGCACACACGCACCTCTAGGGTGCCCTCCCTTGTTGCCTCGGATTTAAACAGTCGTGTCCCTCGAACGTGGAATGCTTTAACAAAGACCCTCAGTTAAAAGATCGTAGTCCCTCGATGACCCTTCAATGCTTCCTTCGATAAACGATCTTAGTCCGTTACAAAAATTGCTAAAGCGTCCTACAAGTTGCCTTATATGATTGTACGATAACTCGCGCTTGTCCCTCACATCCAACAATAGGGATTTTCTACTAACTAATGGTAGGGTAGCACTATCTAAAGGAGGAGGAAAAGAACAATAGACTTTTTGAGTAGGTAGAACGCTCGTAATCGCTTGCTCACAAACTTTTCAAAACAAAACATCTTTCCACAAAACAACACTTTCTTTCAACAAATATTTTCAAAACAAACATTTTTTTATACATTCTCAACGATACGAGAGTCATTACAAAATTGTCGCACTTAGGCATTTTAAAAATATTTTCAAACATACACAAACATAAAGCATTTCAAAAAGTGAGCTAGCGATTAAGAGCCTTACTTGTTTGCCTTCTATGCTTTATATTTCAAGATATGCTTGGGTTTATTTCTTGTATAGATCTTATACCCAGATCTGGGGCATTTTAGGTAAGTAGCAATAGATCGTGAAAATTGTACGGCATAGACCGATATGGTTGAAATGGTGGCTATGTTAGTGCGACACATTGGTTAGTGTCGGTGTCCCTTGAGTAAGTCAAGGAGAATGCTGGGCTTCCGCGTGGTGTCATAAGCACTAACTGACCTTAGAACCTTAGTTGACATAACTTATCCATTAGAAAGTAGTGAGATGACCGGCTTTGGTACAGACGGAAGTTGGTTGATACTCGACGCTACACTCGTTAAGATTGGACTCTCGGGATAGTTCGGTCGCAATTCAGATGCTTGAGCTGAAACAATGCCTGAGAGAAAAATTAGT